CCCTCGACCTTCACCGTGGTCTACACCACGGACCGCGGCGTGCGCGAGGTGGACACGGGGGGGAGCACCCTGCAAGCTTCACCGAGGCGAGAAGAGACGCCTGCTACGCCACCACTGGGTACGCCCCCTTTTGAATCTACCACACCAGGATCATACTCATCATCACCTGGGATTGATGGAGCAATGCGCTGGGCCACGCCTCTCCCTGGTGACGAGGAGCGACGGGACACTGATTTTGGACCGCTCCGTTACCGCCTTCTCTCTGATGTTCTCGAAGAAACGGAGGGAGAAGCAGTGCGCGAACAGATGGAACGATGCCTTCTCAGCGCTGAAGAACCAAGAACCATTGATGCAGCTCTGGATGATTTGGCGTGGAAGGCAGCCATGGATGAGGAGATGAAGTGCATCAGTGACAACAAGACTTGGGAGATCGCCACTCTCCCACCAGGTCACAAAGCCATTGGGCTAAAGTGGGTCTTCAAGGTTAAAAGAGATCCACTCGGCAACATTGTCAGGCATAAAGCTCGCTTAGTTGCAAAGGGGTATGCACAAAGGGAAGGAATTGATTTCGAAGAAGTGTTCGCACCCGTGGCGCGCATGGAAACAGTTCGGCTCCTCCTGGCTCTCGCTGCTCACTCTCGCTGGGAAGTACACCATATGGACGTGAAATCCGCATTCCTCAACGGAGATCTCGCAGAAGAGGTGTATGTGTCACAACCACCTGGGTATGTTGCTGCAGGCAAAGAAGGCTCAGTTCTGAAGCTAAGGAAAGCACTGTATGGGCTTCGACAGGCTCCGCGGGCATGGTATGCGAAACTTGATGAGACCTTGTCAGCTCTAGGGTTCACTCGCAGCCCCCTTGAGCATGTTGTATATCGCCGCGGTAACAAGGACTCGTATCTGTTGGTTGGAGTGTATGTAGATGATCTAATCATTACAGGCACTCACGTGGACTCGATCAAGGAGTTCAAGGCGCAGATGCAGAAACGTTTCAAGATGAGTGATCTTGGCCTCCTCAGCTACTATTTGGGTATAGAGGTGAAGCAGAAAGAGGGGGAGATCTCATTGTGCCAACAGAGCTATGCGGCGAAAATTCTCGAGGAGGCAGGCATGGACGGCTGCAACAGCTGCCACACACCTATGGAGTGTAGGCTGAAGCTGAGAAAGGAAGATGGGTCAAAGCCCTGTGATGCTACTCTTTACAGAAGCGTGATCGGGAGCCTTCGCTACCTTGTGCACACTCGACCTGACATTGCTCATGCAGTCGGGATTGTTAGTCGTTTCATGGAGAACCCAAGCAATGATCACTGGACAGCCGTGAAGCAGATATTGAGGTATGTTCAGGGCACTAAACACTATGGCTGTCACTACAAGGCGGGTACCGGTGATGCTGCACTGGTCGGGTACAGTGATAGCGATCACGCCGGCGACATTGGCGACCGCAAGAGCACTTCTGGGCAAGTTTTTTTCCTTGGCGAGAATCCTGTCAGCTGGACTTCCCAGAAGCAAAGAGTGGTTGCAATCAGCTCGTCTGAAGCAGAGTATGTCGCGGCTGGAGCTGCCACATGCCAGGGCATATGGTTGAGTCGACTCCTAGCTGAGCTGCAGGGACAGAAACCAACGAGGTTCAAGCTCTTGGTGGACAACAAATCTGCCATAGAGTTGGCCAAGAATCCAGTCCACCACGACCGCAGCAAGCATATTGATGTGAAGTTCCATTTTATACGAGACTGCGTTGAAGAAGGGATTGTTGAGATTGATCATGTTGGCACTCAAAACCAGCGAGCAGATGTCTTGACGAAGGCCCTGGGACGAGTCCGGTTCATCGAGATGAGACAGAAGCTGGCGGTCATGGAAGGCAGCAAGTAGGCATGAGCTTAAGGGGGAGAATTGTTAGCTCTACTAAGCTCATGCAAGTGCTAGGATATTTGTTTTCTGTTGAATAACACTGCATGCACGATTGATGTGACGTGCCCATGCAAGTAGTTAGGCGGGAAGTGCGCTGTGCACGTTCCCAGTTTCCTTTCTTTGATGTTTTTCCTTTTACCCTCTCGGACGTCGTATGCGCCGTGCGACGCGATCGTGGGATGGCGCGATCTCAGCGGATCACAGCGCGGCGTCGGGAGGGGTTGTTAGCTAAGGCTTTGTAATCGCATAAGGATGAGGAATACAGAACAACAGAAAAGCTGCGACAGTTAGCGGCAGCGCAAAGACCCACTCTCTCTCTCTCTCGTTCTCATCTCCGATCTAGCTAGTCCGGCAACGACATGATCAATATAAGGGGCATCTGTAACTCTAGTCTCCAGCTGAGGCTTCTGATCGGGCTGTCATGTCTGGATTATTGGCAGCAAACTCGCGCACGAGCGTGTAGTTTGGTTTCAAATCAAGATCATGAGATCGGCGGGTGCGATGAAACGGCGAGAAATGAAGAGTTGGCTGCTGATTGCTTGCTGCTGGAAGGAACAGTTGACTTGGCTTTGGAGGTTCCAGGGCCATGCTTATCTGGTGAGCATCGCTGGCATGTTTCTAGTTTCTACTACCGCATTAGCTAGCATGTGGCTGTTTGCAATCTCAGGACAATTCACGTGATTTACAATTTCTTACTGCCGCATTAGGTGCTCCTAATGAGGGCAATCACGCTGTCATGTTCCAGTTATTGGCAGCAAGAAAATACACGGCTGATTACTGTATTGATTGGTCTCTCCATATACATGAATGCTTTAGCACCACTTTGTACTTAGCAATGTAATCTGATTGATATGCAAAATTTAGTTGATTCGTAGTGTTAACTGCAACCGGCATGCTATCAGTTATGGGGAGCAATACCCAATATATCATAAGGAGCAATGTCAAGGCTTCGAGTTAGTGTGTCTGAACAATTTTCTTAATCACACACTGAACATGGGCCTGAAATGTTTCTTCGCTTTCTTTGCTAATTGGGTGTAGGACTGAATATTGACTTGATAACGGCATTGTCTCCTCATTTCAGAATCAAGTGCAGTTCTTGATAACGGCTCTGAGAAACTTTCTTCATTGCATTGCAGAGGACAAGGAGCGGGGGAGATGGCTCGAGTTCTCCCCCCACTTGCTTTGCCTGCTGAATGTGGCAGAGTCTAACTTGGCCTCCAGGCAAGCACACATGATCTATTATGAATGGTCCAGCCATTCTCTGTTTCTCATACCATCACATACTGTTTCAATGGTCAGGGGTGGCGAAGAGTAGAGACCTAGTCCATTAGAGTGAGGGTTGGTAGGCACGCTGGCTGACCTTCCATGCTTGGGGCAGAAGCCGCAGTGCTATTTTTTCAGATGGAAAGGAAGAGAGGAGGAACTTTGCTCTAATGGTGTCTACCCCGGCATGCACATTTTGGTACCCTCATATATAGTGCAGAAGTAGAAGAGCCTACAGACATTCCCTCAAAAAAAAAGAGAGCCTAAAGACATCTTGTCAGTTGAGGTCCTGAGAGTTTGTCCCCCATCCTCAAGGCAAGTAATATGCTGCTCTGCTGTCATCTTATCGTTTCATACATGAATGAATGAGTATATGGGCCTGTCATGTCTAAATTATCAGAGGCAAACTCACACACGAGGACCAGTTTTTGTGTTATTTCTAGATAGCTTGATCATGTACATGATGACTAACCCTCTTCATGCTTTGTCGCTGGTATTGTACAGCCTTGTCTTAGTTGTCAGTGGCAAACTCATCTGCACGAGGGGGTGGTTGGTGCTTGCTGGTGCGTTGTGCTATCTTGTTCCGCTAACAGCCTTTGTCCATTGGCGTTCCAACCTTACAACCAAGCTCATGCCAGTCATCTCCTTGCTGTCATCAGAGGTCTGTATCTTCTCTCTTGGGATCCTTCCCCAAGATCCATTGAGCACTGCTAGGTGTTCAAGTGCACAAACCTTTGTGGCCCAAAATGCTTACATTTTCTGCAAATTGATATTAAGCATATATCGTCGCCATTGAGTGACAAGGTTATAGTGGAATAGGCATGGTTTTAAGAACTGGAACCATGTTTCTTGGACAAATAATATTTTGATAAATTTCAGCACGAAGTCTTACCAGCATGAGATTTTTTTTAGTGAATATAGTGGTAATGGATTTTACTGGCATTTGTATACAATGTAACAGGGGTGGAGAAAGAAAAAATATATATTAACTAAGTTTATCTACCATGCTTTGATGAGGCAAAATATTTCCCTTTTACTGGAGAGATGTTATTGGTGTTAATGTGTTAAAATTAAGATATGTTATCTCAAAAATTTATGATGCTCAATCCAATATTTATCTCCTATTAAATACCAAATAAAATTATGCTGAAGATACCAGCATACTAATATTTTTTTCATCTGTAGATATGGATTATTATTATTAAGAATATTTTTTATTTCATTTTCCCACTTGATCTACCCATCATATTTTGCTATTTGATTATATCAGCAATGTGAACTTATCATATGAATAACAATCTAGACATACATACCAAAATATTAACTGAGCAAGTGAGCATACGATCGCCAGAATTTACAACTATGAAGGGAATCTGCTACTCCATCTGATTTATGTGCTTATTACAACCATCAACCATGTGGCTTCAAACTGGCGTGTCCCATGCATGATAAGTGAGATCCACAAAATAAGGCTAATGATGAATCTTATGGTAGGTGTGGCGCAACCGATAACCTGCATGTTGGTCTAAAATCATTGTTGTTGTGATTTACCACAAAAATATAACCTGTAACAAAAACCTAATTAACAGAACCTAGTAAATATATGATGGATTGAAATCATACACATTTCCTTTTCTCATGCATATTCATCAAAGAGCTCCAGAGAGATGTTATCGATATCACAAAATTTGAGATGGATCAAAACTTTGCTCTTCGTTTCTATAATTTCTGTACATTTGTACTGTATACATATGGGAAAACTGCCTCAAGATCGGCTCATCCTCAAAAAGGCGGATGCCAATCGCAGGGAGTAGAATGATGTGGAGTATCTATGAGCTAAGAATATTTAAAATAGAAACTCTGTTCTGGACTAATTTCCTGAACAGATTTCCTGTTCCATTCTGAAGATCTCCAATGCTGTACTCTAACTCCTGCAATTGCTCCTCCTCGCAGACAACTGCCTTCTTCTTGTAAAATGCCTTGCAGACAAGAGACTGCTTTGGCATTTCAATTTGCTTCGACAAGAGATGGAGTGTGGACTCCAACAGAGAGATGCAGATCTCTCTTGCCTTGGTCAATAGCATGACCATCTTATCGGATGCAGCCTTCTTGGCAGTCTTGAAATGTTTCCTGGCCTTCTTCGCCAAGCGAGTAAAGGACCGGATCTTGGCTTGAGCAGCTGCATCACCTCCTTTCCTTAGAGCCACCTGCAGCTCTTGGATGATGGCCAACATCTCGGCGAAGGTCTCTTGCATGTAGTTGCAGAGATCTAACAGCTCAATGGAGCACTCCATCTCTCCATCCAACATCTTCCTCTGCTGGGAGGAGCAAACTTGGTGGTTTGGTAGGCAAATGATCTCGTCAAGACCATCATAGATGTTTGCAAGAGTCCTTAGACCATCGCACATCGTGTTGATGGAGTTGGAGGAAGAGATGCTTGCTTCTAGGCTGTGGAGCTCTTGCTCAACTTCGGTCTCACTGACGCGAGGCCTAGATGGCAAACTTATCGATCTTTGGTGGAAAGCCATATCTGAGCTTGAAGCTTTTCTCTGTATATATTGTGGTTGATGATAGCTGAAGAATAGAACACTTCTTGGTTTGATGTGTCTACTGCTCTGCTAAGGCCTATTTATACAGAAAACTTAAGTAGTTGCATTTGATTGGTAGACATGAAGAACCATGCCATCACATCTCCCAGATGCTGTCTGCTTACTATGCCTTGTGCTCTGGCAGAAGCATAGAGATCACAACCCTAAAGTCATCTCATGTTCAGTACATAATTTTGTCTGTCTACTGTCCTTGAGATGAGCCATCACATTATCATGTTCCAACAATTGGCAGCAAGAACCAGCATTAGCACCTTTATAATCACCCAGTTACGTTGTGATGTTTGGTAGCACACAAAGTGTTCCTCCGGTATTCGGGAGTTGCACGATCTCATAGTCATAGGAACTTGTATATCGATTGCCCCCCATTACGAACGTCGCTATCGCCGTGTCACGGAGGGGGGAAACGGTCGACACGGAAGGAATTCTGGTTGGTGGCGGGATTCAGAGTGTAGCTATGTCACCGAAACATCGCACAGGTCCCGATGCATATGTGAAAGTGTTCATGCATGCGTAGACGCCCGTCTTGGGGCTCCGGGGTGTGCCCCCCTCACGGACGGCGGCGCCGCCGGCACCTGGAGGGGGAAAGCGGACGCGTGGGGTCTACACGGAGGGGATCTTGCTGTGGGTCTGGCCCGGATGTTGCTCCAACGTGTTCCTATGGGCTGACCTAACACAACCGGGTGGGGAGGTCCACTGGTCAAAGCCCGTCCGTGCAAAGTCAAAGGGGTAGATCCCGTGGTCAAACGCCATAGGGTTAGGCAGGACGGGGGCACTGGGGGGTAGCAATGCCATCGGAGCGTCGCACCGGGCCCTCATACATGCGGGATGGTGTGGTGGCATGTCCGAAGAGGCGGGACGCGTCTCCGGTGCGTGGCCCCCCTCACGGACGGCGATTACACGGTAGTAGACGTTCTGCGGTAACGATGCGGCGTCAATATTACTAAATACTCGGAGCGCGATAAAATCATGAGTTTTTTTGCACAACGTGGGCACATGTGCTATAGGAAAGATGGTATTTTTTCATAATTTTTGGTGACGGAGAAGTATCCGAAAAATTCCCTCTACGCGGATTGCCCTTCGCGCGTCTACGGCTGTGGCCGGCGGCCTCCGGAGGCTAGCATGCCGCCAAATCTTGTGCCGATGGCCTTTCACAAGTCTGGAAGTGTTGTGGCGGTTGCAAACGCCCGACACGCGTGTCCGGGGTGTGCCCCCCTCACGGACGGCGCCACCGCCGGCACCTGGAGGGGGAAAACGGACGCGTGGGGTCTACACGGAGGGGATCTTGCTGTGGGTCTGGCCCGGATGTTGCTCCAAAGTGTTCCTCTGGGCTGACCTAACACAACCGGGTGGGGAGGTCCACTGGTCAAAGCCCGTCCGTGCAAAGTCAAAGGGGTAGATCCCGTGGTCAAATACTACAGGGTTAGGCGGGACGGGGGCGCTGGGGGTAGCAATGCCACCGGAGCGTCGCACCAGGCCCTCATACATGCGGGGTGGTGTGGTGGCATGTCCGAAGAGGCGGGACGCGTCTCCGGTGCGTGGCCCCCCTCACGGACGACGATTACACGGTAGTAGATGTTCTGCGGTAACGATGCGGCGTCAATATTACTAAATACTCGGAGCGCGATAAAATCATGAGTTTTTTTGCACGATGTGGGCACATGTGCTATAGGAACGATGGTTTTTTTTCATAATTTTTGGTGATGGAGAAGTATCCGAAAAATTCCCTCTACGCGGATTGCCCTTCGCGCGTCTACGGCTGTGGACGGCGGCCTCCGGGGGCTAGCATGCCGCCAAATCTTGCGCCGGCGGCCTCCCACAAGTCTGGAAGTGTTGTGGCGGTTGCAAACGCCCGGCACGCGTGTCCGGGGTGTGCCCCCCTCACGGACGGCGTCGCCGCTGGCACCTGGAGGGGGAAAACAGACGCGTGGGGTCTACACGGAGGGGATCTTGCTGTGGGTCTGGCCTGGATGTTGCTCCAAAGTGTTCCTATGGGCTGACCTAACACAACCGGGTGGGGAGGTCCACTGGTCAAAGCACGTCCGTGCAAAGTCAAAGGGGTAGATCCCGTGGTCAAACGCTACAGGGTTAGGCGGGACGGGGGCACTGGGGGTAGCAATGCCACAGGAGCGTCGCACCGGGCCCTCATACATGCGGGGTGGTGTGGTGGCATGTCCGAAGAGGCGGGACGCGTCTCCGGTGCGTGGCCCCCCTCACGGACGGCGATTACACGATAGTAGACGTTCTGCGGTAACGATGCGGCGTCAATATTACTAAATACTCAGAGCACGATAAAATCATGAGTTTTTTTGCACGACATGGGCACATGTGCTATAGGAATGATGGTATTTTTTCATAATTTTTGGTGATGCAGAAGTATCCGAAAAATTCCCTCTACGCGGATTGCCCTTCGCGCGTCTACGGCTGTGGCCGGCGGCCTCCGGGGGCTAGCATGCCGCCAAATCTTGCACCGGCGGCCTCTCACAAGTCTGGAAGTGTTGTGGCGGTTGCAAACGCCCGGCACGCGTGTCCGGGGTGTACCCCCCTCACGGACGGCGCCGCCGCCGGCACCTGGAGAGGTAAAACGGACGCGTGGGGTCTACACGGAGGGGATGTTGCTGTGGGTCTGGCCCGGATGTTGCTCCAAAGTGTTCCTATGGGCTGACCTAACACAACTGGGTGGGGAGGTCCACTGGTCAAAGCACGTCCGTGCAAAGTCAAAGGGGTAGATCCCGTGTTCAAACGCTACAGGGTTAGGCGGGACGGGGGCACTGGGGGTAGCAATGCCACCAGAGCGTCGCACCGGGCCCTCATACATCCGGGGTGGTGTGGTGGCATGTCTGAAGAGGCGGGACGCGTCTCCGGTGCGTGGCCCCCCTCACGGACGGCGATTACACGGTAGTTGACGTTCTGCGGTAATGATGCGGCGTCAATATTACTAAATACTTGGAGCGCGATAAAATCATGAGTTTTTTTGCACGACGTGGGCACATGTGCTATAGGAATGATGGTATTTTTTCATAATTTTTGGTGATGGAGAAGTATCCGAAAAATTCCCTCTACGCGGATTGCCCTTCGCGCGTCTACGGCTGTGGCCGGCGGCCTCCGGGGGCTAGCATGCCGCCAAATCATGCGCCGGCGGCCTCTCACAAGTCTGGAAGTGTTGTGGCAGTTGCAAACGCCCGGCACGCGTGTCCGGGGTGTGCCCCCCTCACGGACGGTGCCACCGCCGGCACCTGGAGGGGGGAAACGGAAGCGTGGTGTGTACACGGAGGGGATCTTGCTGTGGGTCTAGCCCGGATGTTGCTCCAAAGTGTTCCTATGGGCTGACCTAACACAACCGGGTGGGGAGGTCCACTGGTCAAAGCCCGTCCGTGCAAAGTCAAGTGTAGATCCCGTGGTCAAACGCTACCGGGTTAGGCGGGATGGGGGCACTGGGGGTAGTAATGCCACCGGAGCGTCGCATTGGGCCCTCATACATGCAAGGTGGTGTGGTGGCATGTCCGAAGAGGCGGGACGCGTCTCCGGTGCGTGCCCCCCCTCACGGACGGCGATTACACGGTAGTAGACGTTCTGCGGTAACGATGCGGCGTCAATATTACTAAATACTCGGAGCGCGATAAAATCATGAGTTATTTTGTACGACGTGGGCACATGTGCTATAGGAACGATGGTATTTTTTTATAATTTTTGGTGATCGAGAAGTATCCGAAAAATTCCCTCTACGCGGATTGCCCTTCACGCGTCTACGGCTGTGGCCGGCGGCCTCCGGGGGCTAGCATGCCGCCAAATCTTGCGCTGGGGCCCTCTCACAAGTCTGGAAGTGTTGTTGTAGTTGCAAACGCCCCGCACGCGTGTCCGGGGTGTGCCCCCCTCACGGACGGCGCCGCCGCCGGCACCTGGAGGGGGAAAACGGACGCGTGGGGTCTACACAGAGGGGATCTTGCTATGGGTCTGGCCCGGATGTTGCTCCAAATTGTTCCTATGGGCTGACCTAACACAACCGGGTGGGGAGGTCCACTGGTCAAAGCCTGTCCGTGCAAAGTCAAAGGGGTAGATCCGTTGGTCAAACGCTAGAGGGTTAGGCGGGACGGGGGCACTGGGGGGTAGCAATGCCACCGGAGCGTCGCACCGGGCCCTCATACATGCGGGATGGTGTGGTGGCATGTCCGGAGAGGCGGGACGCGTCTCTGGTGCGTGGCCCCCCTCACGGACGGTGATTCCACGGTAGTAGATGTTCTGCGGTAATGATGCGGCGTCAATATTACTAAATACTCGAAGCGCGATAAAATCATGAGTTTTTTTGCACGACGTGGGCACATGTGCTATAGGAACGATGGTATTTTTTCATAATTTTTGGTGATGGAGAAGTATCCGAAAAATTCCCTCTACGCGGATTGCCCTTCGCGCGTCTACGGCTGTGGCCGACGGCCTCCGGGGGCTAGCATGCCGCCAAATCTTGCGCCGGCGGCCTTTCACAAGTCTGGAAGTGTTGTGGCGGTTGAAAACGCCCGGCACGCGTGTCCGGGGTGTGCCCCCTCACGGACGTCGGCGCCGCCGGCACCTGGAGGGGGAAAACGGACGCGTGGGGTCTACACGGAGGGGATCTTGCTGTGGGTCTAGCCCGGATGTTGCTCCAAAGTGTTCCTATGGGCTGACCTAACACAACCGGTTAGGGAGGTCCACTGGTCAAAGCCCGTCCGTGCAAAGTCAAAGGGGTAGATCCCGTGGTCAAACGCTACAGGGTTAGGCGGGACGGGGGCACTGGGGTAGCAATGCCACCGGAGCGTCGCACCGGGCCCTCATACATGCGGGATGGTGTGGTGGCATGTCCGAAGAGGCGGGACGCGTCTCTGGTGCATGGCCCCCCTCACGGACGGTGATTACACGGTAGTAGATGTTCTGCGGTAACGATGCGGCGT